CTTTTTTCTTGTTATTTCAATGCGTAAGTATAATTTTGTTTTTAGGGATCAGGACGGTATTGAGTGTTATTACACTTAAAAAGCATTCTAAGGGTAATTGATTAAAAAACGCCAAAATTCAATCGCAACTGGATTACTAGTTCTTGGCCTTGGAGTTATGCTGTTACAAACGAGTCGAGGGGTCTACTAGAGCAGTACTCTGTGTTTTCGTTTCTTTCTGAAATCGACTTGTGTGGTCACGGCAAAGGCGGTAAGGTGAAGGGTAAGTACGTCTCGCTTCCAGCCGAACCTGGCTTTCAGTTCCCGGGTGACCTCAAATCACCGTCTTCTGGCGCAAGGGCAAACTATGCTGAGCGCGTAGGAGCCGGCGCCGCCCCGTCTACTTTGGGCGCCGTCATGGAATATTCTCGCCGCCGAAGGTTCGAGTGTGGCCGGGAACGCGCTCGCGACAACAGAAGATGCGTATCATCCCGCGTCTACTGCAATGGCATCCGAACGACGAGGAGTCGAACAAACTTTAGTAGGGGCGTCCAGTGATAGGGCGGGGTGCTCCTGTAACATCCAGGGCTGTTCTCCTTTCCCGAGAAGACGGAAAGAAGGCAAAAATGTGTGAAGATTTTGTTTTTTCTTCGGCCTACAGGCAGTTCTCCATTAGTGGCGGGGGCGGAGGGGTTTTGGCTTTTTCCGGGTGGACGGCGGCTTGTGGGGAGAGGTGTGCGACTGTGGGAAGCAGAGACCGGTGCGGGCGGCGGTAGAAAGAACGTGCCTGTTCCACAAACTCATTTCACGTAGTATTTTTCACAAACGAATATACGTTAGATTTTTTTCAAACTCAATAAACTATCACTCTGAGAAGCAACTTTAAACCTCTCCCCCTCCATGTCTCAGCGCTTTTGCTAACCAACGGAAAAGCTTCGTAAACGTAAGATACCAGCACAAGGAGCTTTCCTCTCTCCGCCTTTTCTCCGCACCAAAGACTCAGGCCCTTCGAGTTAACCCCCGCGAGCCTGACCTCTACCAACCAAGGAAACGATATGACGTTCCAACTCAGGCAGGCACTTTAAAGCTTATGGCGCCTTCATCCTCAATTGAACGTTACGTGTAAATATGTGTGAATCCCCTCAAAATTAAGCGATTGTTGCACGGGCGGTGTGGAGACGAGCATTAGGATGATGCGTAGGCATTTTTTTTGGGTCCACTTTGCTCAGAGCACGTCAGAAGGGGTTTACTGACATCAGAGTTACATAGCTTCCCGGACGGCACCGCGATCTTCAAGCAGTTGCTTGTTAATTTCCCGTGTAAGTAATGTATATACGGGAATATATACTCAGTATAGAAAAGTTATGCCAATGCTGCGGGAAAATCGATTTCGAGATTTCCCACGAAATGACGCGTGTTGGTCGTGACTGGTTTTTCAAAAATGTCCGACGTCGAAGTTAAACCGTTTTTTCAAAGTGAGTTGAACAGCCTCTGCTGATTTGAAAAAATCATTCGTTGTGGGGGGATACTTTACATAAAACCCCAGGACATTTTCATTTTTTTTCCAAAACGGCTCCAATTCTTTCTATAGTTTTTTTGTAGGCATTTGAGTCAAATACACTTGTCAGGTGCGTTTAGGTCGTTTTCCGGTTAACTCTGCATTTCCGAAAAATTTAAAAAATTGAATTTTTTTCGGGTCTCCCTTACAACTACCCTCCTCCGATAGAGATTTTCCTTTTCACATTAAATTTGGATTACCATTTATTGTTCTCCATTTCAGGTCCTGTACATTTTTTGAAAATTTCACTAGTTTTCTCACAATTTGCGTGAAATTTATGCATTTAAAAATACAAAAAACAAGATTTTTCTCAAAACGGCTCCAAATTTTTCTTTCCAAACTTTTTCCCACAGGATAGTGCTAAAACTGAACTGTTTAAGATGTTAATAGAATTAATTTTGCTGTATTCGAAAACTCGATAGTTTCTGTGAAAAAGAGGTTTCAAATTCGCATTCACAGTTTAGCTTAATCGCCTATTTCTTAAAAACGGCTTCCAAATTTTGATAAGAAATTGCCTTCAGTACAAGGTTTGTACTGTTCTTTAATATCCTTAAAATAATATTTGCGGTTTTATTATTAGGAGCCGAAAAATAAGAAATTTTTAAAAAATTGTACTTGTGCGGCCGATAGATGGCAGAAGCAAGGAATATGTGTCAAGTCGAATAGCTTAGCCGGACCAACAGAAATTAGAAAACTAATACTGAAAGTATGTGGCATTTCTGTTGTACCACAAGTTTAACATTCTGTAATCCTAGACAAATGTTTTACACGTAAAACATTTAATGTATTAACGTTTAAAAATATTTTGTATTTCATTAGTTAGCGATCTTAACGTTTACTTCGCAATTTAGTTTTATTCATTCGTTGTTTGTATGTTAGTTGTTGCAGGTACGTAGTTCTGTGATGTTACATGCTCCTTTTTGATTGGTAGGTATGGAGTTTTAATCGGCGCGGTGGATTTTTAATTAACGAGTGCTGATTAACACGGACGATATAATCAAAAACGATTTTTTCATAAATTAATGGGAGATATTTAGTTTTAAAAAAAATTTCAAATTTTTTATTGTTACTCTTAACTATTCATAATTTCCGCTTTAACAGAATTGTTACATCCTTCGTTCTTCATATTTCCCTCGTAACCATGCATACCCGCAATCTAGACAAGGTGTGCAGTCGATCCCCCCTCTTTTCTAGATTAAATGGACCTTCGCTATGCGCCCTCTTGTTTGAACTTCCTTTTGCTTTGTAATGGTAGGAGTAGAGGTAAGACGAGTTACTATTTTGTATAGCAATGCAGAAAAATCATACTTCAATTCGTTCCAATGCAAACAAGTTTTTCTATAAAAATTCCGGGGAAACAAAAATGTCTATTTTTTTCAAATAATTTACTAACCTTGCCGCCTTTTTTAAAATTTATTTTATTATTTATTTTAAACTGTTTACTAAATCTTTTCCAACTATTTATTAGTTAAAAATTGACGGGAAAGGATTTCTTGGAACTCAAGAAAAAACGTGCCGCAGATTAATCTTCTCCCCCATTACGTCACATACAGTTTTTTTTTGTATGACTAAATAAATCTAAATGGCAGCGGATATCGAGGTACGAATCGAAAGCAATAACATAGTAAAAAAAATAATCCAGTTTTTCGTGTTTGGCCCTTGCAGGATCATGGATGGCCTGTAATTGATTTTCCCAGTTCAGGGGACTTTATTAATTAGATGTTGAAATCAGCTATTTTCACTTTAGGAAAACAAAGTGCGCAACATATTCTAAAGATGCCAGTTAGTTACGCAAGTTAAATACTTTTGTTAAAAACCAATGTTATCTTGCAATGCGAAGGAAAAATCAAAAAGAAAAGGAAATTGCGACAATTGATGAAACAATATTTTACACTCCGAGTTAAATTGATGTATTCTTTTGTGGTATGGTTACTGCATGCCAACACCAATTAATTGAAAATCCTCATTACTAAAAAAAAAATCGTGATTTCATTACATTACTCCATCTCTCTCTGGTTATGTGAAAATTGATTATACAGCACAGTGCTGACATCTGCTGGAAAATTAACAAACAGAATAGCAAAGACCTGTCTGGTTTCATAGAAAATTTAACAAACAATTTAATTTAAAATATACAGGGTGGCCACTTCCTGGAAAGCATGGAAAAGTCAAGGAATTTAATTGCACTGGATAAATCATTAGAAGTAAGGGAAAATTTTGAGATGGTTATAAAACCAGATATTATTTATACAACAGTGTTCAGCATGAGCTTTTGCTCAATTTCTATTTGTTGCTCTTTTTTTATTATTATTATTTTTAATTTTTTAATTTGTACTTTATCATGGCAAAATCAGTTAACTGACAAATAGTTTCACTCTTGCTTTAATATTTTCTTTAAATAGTGTGAAATACTCTTCAAATCTTATCAGTGAAAAACTGTTAAAATGCTTCGGGGAAACTAAGAAAAGTAAGGGAAATTTGTTTCAAAAGGTGAGTGGTCACCCTGATATATTTCAAGATTTTGTGTGTGTCCAACCACCTGTGTTAGAGAGACCGTGAACAGAGAACTAAGCCTCCAAAAATGTATTAGAAGTTTGTAGAACTTATTTTGTAGATTACGTTAAATAATAAGGATGTACCTTTGGGAAACTTAAAACCATGCATTGATTCCAAGTTAGACATGATGGATCAGCATAATGTGTGGATGTGGTTGATTTCTTTGTAACATGTAGAGAATTATACAATTTTGCTTGGTTTGGGGGAACAAAAAGAAATCACAAGGGGGATGGGGTAACCTGTTCATTGTTGAGAATGTTTATTGTTCTTGCAGCTGTGTGAGCAGGAACATTGTTGTGGTGCAGCAAAATGTGACCTTGTGTGGACTTCAGATGCTTTGATGTCCCCACTTTTGGCAAGCATTGTGTCACATACCATTCAGCAGTCACAGTGCATTGGCTCCTAAAGTCACAATAGACCATGACCTTTCTTTGTTCAAAAAATGCAACCATTTTCTATTCGCTGTTGCGATCCCTCTTTATCTTGGAAAGCACCATACCCTTGCCTCTCTTTTAGTTTTCAGGTTTGCAGTGGTAAATACATTCATCTGTTACAATGCTGTAAATGTCTTTAGATTGCAGTCCATCAATTTTTTTAGTATGAATTTGTACCAGTCCTCCCTATAGATTTTTGCTCTCCTGTCAACTTATGTGGTACCCAGCGAGCACCATGCTTTGTGAGTCAAATGTTGATGCCCAACGGACCCAATATTTAGTGTTAGTCCAACATCAGCAAATGCCAGGTGCGGGTCTTCTGTCACCGTTCTTCTCATAACGTTGATATTTTCTTCTCTGGGCTGCAATGGCTGGGACGTTCAGAGTGTGGTTAAAAATTATTTTGAGAAGTCTCTCTGTAGTGACAGTTTTGCTTTGTATTATTGTATATAATTAGCTTTTTTTTGTTGCAGTTACACAAGAGGACGCATCAAAGTAGAGGATGTAAATGATTTTATTTCATCTCTGAATTCTACAATATCAAAAAAATATAGTATTGTGAGAAATCGTAATAATTTGAAATATGAAGATAAATTATTACAGAATGTATATAAACAACAAGAACGATTATGTCCAGGTAAGGGAAAGCCATTTTTAGTAAGAATCTGTATAACCCATATATGTAGAATCCCAACCACCCCTGTCTTTTCCTCATTCTCATCCATATGAAAGAAAAGATATGTTAGTGAAACATTTTAATAGAATTTGAAATACTGCCTGTCTGTCGGTTCGAAATGATCCAAACTCTACCTAAACCCAGAAGAGCTCTTCAAACTTCCATGTGTCCAATGTACTAATAGAAGATTCGAATATAACTTTTTTTATAGAATGCACCATGATAATCAAAATGTAACACCAGGTTTTAAAGCCCTGCGATACACTGCTTTTTAATCATAAACAACTGATGTCAAGAATTTTAATTATATTCATTAACACTTACCCACATCCACCAACCCATATCCAGGATATGTATTTCAATGATGCAAATGAGAAACAGACTGAAATATTCCGAAACGACTTGTACCGTCAATGGAGTGGTGAGTGTGTGATGTGTGAGTGTGTGAGTTGTGAGTTGTTGTGTGATGTGAGTGTGAGTGTGTGTGTGGAGAGAGAGAGAGAGAGAGAGAGATGGAGAGAGAACGTAAAGGGTGAGGCATAGGACAAGCAAGAGAGAGTGAGATCGGCGCACGGTCCGCTTAGGCCCGTTTGTTAGGATGCCTTGCTCGGGCATTTCTCTTCGATTTGGCATCACAACAAGTAATTTGCATGCTCTCTTAAATTTAAGAAAGAATAATTATCTCATTACGACCTTACCACTAGTAGTATCATTTTTCCAATTCTATCATTGTCATTGCATTTTTCCGACGACATTCTCAACGCCTGCCACTTGCGAGCAGGGCCGCCGACGCTGCCGAAATGGGGAACACGACCCTCACAGTGTTCGTTGTAGAGGGGAAACGGGGAGAAGAGGGCGGGCGGGAAGCGGAGAATACAGCACCAAAAACCAACCTAAACATAACAACAGAAAATAAGCAAGATCAAAACCCATTCTTTGCTCATAACGGCTTTCCGCAATATTATTGAAAACAAATTGTTATGCTGTCTTTCGTTTAGTAAACCATCTTGAGGCTACACAATAAACATAAGAACAAGCGAAGTTGGGTAGACGGTGAGACGTTCGAAAGAATTGTTGGTGTGGGAGAAATATGTCAAGGCTTTTTCGTGTGGATAGAGTACACCCGACAAAAAAAATCGAATCATGAGCATAAGCCGTGTGAAATTCCAAAACGGAGCAGATCAGACGAGGGGCAGACGGAATAGACATGGTGAAAAAGAAGAAGAAGAAGAAGAGGAAAGAAAAGAAACGAAGCGGAAAGAAGAAAAGAAAGAAATCAACGGAAAGGGTCTCGGCACCTCGTCCGTGCAGGCATCACGCCACACTACACGCGCGCACACGGAGGGCAACCCGTCCGTTTCCACCCGAGTCGCGGCTGGCATGCTCCAGATTCGGGCCGGATCGCCACCCGGTGTGGAGGATCGTTCGGTAAAATGTATTGATTTCAAAGATTCTATCCTCTCAGTTGAATTTTAAACCAATAGTGTTTAAACCTATTACAACAAATGTTGCCACTAGAGCGAGTGTCTATCTCAAAACGTTTATCCGCTTTTCTATTTCCAGATTTTTGCCTGAACCTCTTCTACCCACTGGCTAATCATTAAACGGGTGACTCATCTATCTGAGGAGACCTGTATACTTCCATAGTCAACGAGTGCGAGCCAGAAGGATCCCCGCCGCAATGGCGACTCTGGATCTTGATGTACCAAGAAACAGCGAGCGAGCGGTTACCATCCAGTGATGCGAGGTACACTTAATTAATGTATTTAACCTCTCGATTCAAATTTTAACACCTTTCAGTTTCTTTCTCCGTGATTTCTTTCAGTATGTAAGATATCAACAAAGACCAATGATTTTATGGCCGTAACAAGCTACACTGTTTAGAGAGGATTTTATTGTACTCACTATAATTTAGTCAAACAACACAGAAATTATGGACACATATACTTCTGTTACCAAATCCAAAGCCCACCAGCAAATACGCTCTTTGTTCCTGCGTATTAAGCCCAGTTCTGGTCTTTTTTACGCACACAAATACGAAAGCTTTCCTCTTCTTACCAGTAAATTCCTATTAACGCGTGAGCGAAGAGTAAAGGACAACTTAACTTATTTACAAACTAATGTAATACACAATTTTGTTATATGATCTGTATATCTGGTTCAATTTACAGATTCCTCACTGTATTGTTACATGGGACATTCATCTTTTGCAATTTTCAGCGTATAAGTGGCCTATAAGTCGCAGTACAACATTTCCAGGATGATATAAAATAATATATGTGATGGAAACATCAGCACAATGTGAATTTAAAAATAAACACCATCTTTTACTCTGTGGCAAGACACAAAGTATCACAAGATTCTTGTGCCCTTGGCCACGTGTGTTTTCAG